TCATGGTATCTTAGGACACCATTATCTCACTTATCATATGCTTGACAGTTGACACCGTGCTTGATATTGTATATACACCAATAAGCATGTTTACTGTGTCCAAGATACGAGTCCATGTTGGCATCTGGCCCAGTGCATTTATGCCTGCTTTGTTCGGTTTTCTGTTTTCCTTCGGATCATTTTGTTATTGGCGTTTGAGATCCCAATTTTATTAATGTTGATGCACCTTCCATGTTAGAAAGCATCCAACAAACTCTTGGTTCCTTTCTTTAATTGAACTTTTACTCTTCTGTAGATAGCAAACTTCATTTAGATTATCGCATTCATTTTTTTACAACAACGCCATTTATAATTATTGTGGTTGGTTGGAATCAATAATCAATACAATAAAATGCAACTTTTCTTACCTGTCAATATTATCAGACCATTTGCTTTTTAATCTACACTGTGTGGCATATTTATATTCCTCTCATGGCCTGCAGTTACTCTGTAAACAAATGATGGTTGCTGCCTAACCTGTTGTAGCCTTGCAGTGATTATCTGGGTTTCAGCATTGTTGGCCTGGGACAACTTGTTGCTTCTGAATGGCCAACACTTGGAAAACTGATAGTCCTCTGGGCATGGCTTCTAGCAAAGCTAAGACCGTAGCTGATTTGGGATATTCTATACAGTGTCCAATGCCAAGCACTATGACACTATCTGCTAGTACAGTTCTGGCAACAGATTCTGGAACTAAGTTATCTGTTGTGCAAGATTCTTATCATTTGAATGACTATGGTCATTGTGCTGATACCGAGTATATGAATGCGACTCATGTAGCTCGACAAGATGCGTTAACTTCAGCGAAGCAGTTATACCTATCTCTGATGTCCGGTGACCCAACCTTGTACAAGGCATGCAAGGGGTCATCTATATTGGTTAGTGATGTGGTCAATTCACATGAAAATTGGCACTTACATGAATGCTGCAGCATCGCAACCAGAACGGTACTTGTCTCGAAAAGACTCATGGAATATGGTGAAGGTCTTTCTGAATACAATGATCGAAATTTGAAGAAGCATAAGAATAACTCCTACTCAGGCAATGCCGGTCTTGGTCCATTGTTGCCAAGTGCTGCAATCGAGAATCTTAAACAATCTGCAAGTACAGCTGCACTCGCAAAATGTGACACCAAGTTATCACATGTGGAAAGTTTGGATCAGATTAAGAATCATGGTCGTTGCTCTACTGACATCGAGCGCACACATGTGATATATCAGGCTACTCAAGACCCGCTGACATCAGCTAACCAATCTTCCTATCTTGAGAACTATGGTTGCTCAACCTTGTTAAAATCATCTATTCTGGTTACTGATGAGGCCACTAAACATGAAATCTTTCATGTGGATGAAAACAATACAGTTGCAATGAAACTTATACATACATCTAAGAGAAAACTGGAGCAGAGCGTTGGTAATCCTGAATACACCAATGGGATTTTGAAGAAACGTCAAAAGTACTGTTGCACAGTGCATGAAGGTTAGTGTGGAGATAATTTACAAAAATCTGATGAGCTCCTGTTACTAATTGTTCATAAATCTGTTGTGTATCTGTTGCTTAATAATCTCAACCACAGAGGTTGATAATTTTTTAAACATTCTCAAGTTTTTCTATCTGCAAAATCTAGACATTCTATGATACCATTTTCTATACACTATCTATGGATAATCAAATCAAAGCAACAATTTGTACTAGAAGATGCCTTTTGTATTTGATTTAATAGCTCTGTAGCCTAATAGCAGCATCTTCTGCTAGAGGAATAACTATTTTTCTCCCATTTATTTGCAGTGATAATTCCTGATCATTTGAAAGTAACAAACACAGAATGTGTCGATTTGAGCTCTCTCATTGTTGGATCTGGAGCATTTTTTGGGCTCCTCCCACACAAGGCCACTGATAGCAATGTGGAATTGTCTATTCACGAGGAACCTGCAACGTTAAATCAAATGTATGCAAGGTTAACTGTTTTACCACTGTTATATTTAATTTGGGGTACTTTCCTCTGAAAGGACCATTGACATTGCAGAATTGACTGTTGCAGGGATGAAAATCAGGGCATGGCCTTGCACTCGGCGACAAATGGAATTCTTGATGTCAAGATGGGAACTAACAAGGAGAATGGCAACTCACCTTCTGTTTCACAGGCTGCTGAGCTGGCACATGAAATACTTGACTCATTCGGTCGTCAGTATGATGTGACTTCGCTTCCAAGTGATACATATTCAAATGTGAGCACATCAAAGGTAACTGATCTTTGCCTTCAATTGTTGTGTTTGTGTTGCGCTGTACCTATGGCAAGTTTTATCTACATGGTCAACAGTGACAATACTTGTATTACAAGTTAAGGATTTCTTCTTGAGTTTCCCTGATAATAAAAAATCAAGATGCATTGGCTTTCCATATCATTTTTGTATTTTTTTTCCTGATGAACATGAAATATGTAGCAGGGTGCAAAGCATATCAGTTAGGCAAACCACATTAGCTCTTTTTCTAAGAGATCATATAATGTTAACTGATTGGAAGATTTGGAAAAAAAAAATTAGGAGAATGTTGTGATGAACATGAAATATATAGCAGGGTGCATATCATATCACTTAGGCAAACCACATGGCATATCTCTTCTCAGAAATCTGATAAAGTGAGCAACCTATTCGTCTCAGAAAAACAAAAGAAAATGAAGCTAGGCTGATATTTGGCAGTCTATTCGTCTCCCACATTATTACATTTCAAATAAGGCCAATATGAAATTTTAAGGATAGTTTCCAATATCCTATTTCCTCTTTTTTCATAGATCTGAAGTTCTGAGAATTTATGTGTTAAAATTGCACAAATATTCTAAAGTAATCTCATTTCAATGGGTCTTTGTTATCTCTACATTCATTATGTCAGTCCCTTCGGATACTTTCTTTTGTAATGTATGGGGTGAGAAATAAGTAGTTGCAAATGTTGAGTGAAGCATTACAGTTTTAGATAGATAATTTTGTTATGCCTGAGCACTATTTTTAATTTTTCTATGCTTGAGCACTATGCATTGCCATTTACATGATAAGGACAATTAAATTGATGTAGCAATTGGATCTCTTGTTTTTCCGTGCATCTTCAATGAGGTGATGACACAGTGTAACTGTTTTGGGAAGTATGATCTGTATATTTTAGTGTGTCCATCATTCTTATGTATGAAGTTGAAGTATGATCCATTCACTTTAGTGCATCGACAAGTCCAGGCTTTACACTATAATTGTTACTAGTTGTCTTACACCATTGTTTCCAATAAGCATATTAATTTTGTTGTATACTTGCATTCTATTTTTGCAGGTGCAGTTCACTGTGAAGCTCGCTGGATATTCTTTATCATCGCAGGAAGACTTGGGTAACACAACAGTTCAACAGTTACTAGAGTCTTCATGTAGAAAGATGGGGATTAATACACCAGACATATATGGAGTTTTGTGTGGAAAAACTCTGTTCTTAAAAGATTTGCTATAAGCTTACCCTATCTTTCAAGATTCAACAATTGTGACTTCAGGCACAGATTCAGGGGTGGAAGATGGTAAGTAAAATCTTAGCTTTTTGTAGCTTATGCTTACTACTAACAGTGCATATTGGTGAAATTTGCTGGTTAGTAGGTGTGTCTAATAACAATATTATTTTTCCAGGATGGAAACATATAAAGAAAAATTTTCAGTGCGTATAGATGTTCTGTTTGACTTTGTTACATTGCCTATGGATTTGGTGAACACATCTGATTGGAATATATATGTCTCACAGCTTTCTGGATATTCTAGATCCATCCTGAAAGAGTTGCTCGTTTGTCTTACTCTATCACAGGGCAGGGCGTAGTTTTGATGGTAGGTTTGATAAGAACGATATTTATTACTCCCATGGGAAAGCTTATATCAGACAGAGATATGATCTTGTTGAGTTCACTCGTGGGTCTTGTCAATGAGATTATAAGGCGATTAAGAGAATTATAAGGAGAACATTTATCGCTCCAAATGGTGGTTATCCCGAATATTTTGATCACCTCCTAGATTATCTTGACCGTTGCCCTGCTGGTCATCTCTCAAATACCGAGATTGCAATTAGTTTTCTAGTGAACCATCCTGGGATTCAGTTCTTTATGGATAGATGCAAACAGAGCATGCTATTAGACAATTTACTGCATCGTGTCTTTGGAAATGATCTTATAACAATCTCAGATGCTTTGGGTGATCTGCTTCAATGGAAGCTGAAATTACTTGATTGTCCGACAATGTGTGATTGCTTCTATTATGGTATAGTAGATGGACAACTGGATATAAATCCTAATTTCACAGAGGACCCAATGGGATACATTCACTACTCCAATATCTTCTTCAAACATGCTTCAAATGCTGTAAGAGCTTATTCTAACATTAGTTTAGTGCATATTTAAGTTGTTTTTAAATGGCTAGTCAAATTTTTCTTAAGAAATTTAAAGTTAGTGGTCTTTTTTCTCAACTTTGTTGCTTATATGCATCAAACTTTTGATACTTATTTGTTCAATAGTTCACATTGGAGCAACTTGAAGCCGCTCACTCATTGAACTCTGGACCACACTTGGCGCTAATTTTGGA